ATTTTTTCCCCATATATATAAATAATTTAATCAATAATGTATTTTTTCCGTGTATAAATATTATTTTTGTTTTGACATTACTTATATGTTTGAATCTATATACAAATATTTTAATCAATAATATATTTTTTTCGTAAGTAAATATTATTTTGTTCAATAACAGATACTTGTACTTATATTTTATAATTTATTTTAATTGAAAACATATGATTACTTATTATTATTTTCTTAAAATATATTACATTTTAAATTAAAAATAATATCAAACTAAAAAAAGTATTAACAAAAATAATTAAAAAACAACAAACTTATTGGAAGGTGTGGAGAAAAAAGTTAGATAAAAAAAATATAATATTGTATTTTATCAATAACATCATATAAAATGATTATTTAGAACATGCATGTTGAATTTTTGTAAAAAAATAAATAATAAAATTGGTAATAAAATATTTATGGTATCAATATTTTAAATATGTTTTTAGAGAAATTAAGAATAAATGTTTTTGTATACCGAAGATAAAAAGACATATTTAATTCTACCATTAAATGTTATTAAATTATAAACTAAAATTAAAAAACAATTATTTAATATATATAAATAATATGGACACTATCAGAACTCATAAGCTCCACCAAAAAAACCCAGTCAAAAGTATACAAAAATACATAAAGGATGTTATTGTTAGTAGTTGAGAAATACTTAAAAACCAGTCCTAAATTTAAAATTAAATTATTTTTCTTAACATGTGTAAAAAATAATATAGGTGTTTAATAAAAGGTAGAAATATCAGATTTTCAAATAATGTATATAATTACATATACACATCAAAAAAATTGAGCTAAATACAAATATAAACGTGGAGAAAATTTCTCACAAAAACACAATATAAAAATACAATTACTAGTAATATATTTGGTTTGTTTGAATTTAGTTATTTGGGTTAAATAATATTGAGTCCTTATGCACAATCTTTAGGATAAGATGTATGCAGTTGGTATTGGACATATATTGCTTCAAATTCAGACCATCTTCTGCTTAATGTGTATTACATTCATGTTGTCTGCATTGAAAAAGTGTCCAAATTCAATTTTTCCATAGCAAATCCTCAAAACCTGTATTTATGGAAACACATCAGTCAAAAAATGAACATCGATATCACCCATCAGCTGCTGTTACATCCATCAATACCCCATGCTCATAATCCAATATGATTATTGGCACTATAAATACCACATTTTGCTCTCTGAAACCAGCAATACACATATTTAGTCGGCATTCACACAATGCAAGAAAATATATTTATATGTATGACGTAAATGATATCACAGTCCTTCATGATCAAGTTATTCATGAAGATTTCAAAGTGTTAATAGTAAAAATATCATGTCAATGTCAAAGAGAAATTATTTGTTCATTGCAACTCTCTAGTAGCCACATAATATTCATAACACCATCTAAAAGATTTTTTCAATCTCTAATCTTGATTTTTGAAAAACACTACGAAGACATTATTATATATAGATAGATTAGAACTAATTACATGATATAGCCGATGTGAGAGTATTTTATATACAAATATTCTTAACACTATATATTTTTACAAATATCAACACTCCCTCTCAAGCTTGAGCATACAAGTTAAATGCACCAAACTTGTTACATATATAGTTAGTTTTAGGGCTTCGTAGAGATTTTGTAAACACATTTGTCAATTAATCATTAGAGTTGACAAAGCTTGTGACGATGTCGCCTTACTCGATCTTCTCTATGACAAAGTGACAGTCTATCTCAATATGTTTGGTCCTCTCATGGAAGACTAGATTTGAAGCAATGTGCAATGCAGCTTGATTATCACAAATAAGTGTCAACGATCTTGCTTTTTCAATTTGAAGTTCCTTGAGCAACTGTTTTAACCAAATAAGTTCACATTTTGCCATTTTTCATGGCCCTATGCTCTGCCTCGGCGCTTGATCTTACAACTATATTTTATTTCTTACTTTTCCAGGATATAAGGTGTCCTACAACAAGTACACAATATCCAGAGGTGGATCGTCTGTCAATGGGTGACCCTACCCAATCAATATCAGAGTATTCAACTTTCTGGGTATGTCATTTATCCTTATACAGAAGACCTTTTCTTATAGCACATTTGATGTATCTCAGAATCCGGATAACAACATCCATGTGTTCCTGACAAGAGGAATTTAAGAACTAGCTTACCGCAATGACTGCAAAAGAAATGTCTGGACGAGTGACTGTGAGATGATTTAACTTTCCAACCAATCTCCTATACCTTTCTGAGTCAGATAAAGGCTCTCCCTGATTGGGTAATAGTTTGACACTTGGATCCATAGGAGTATCGACTAGTTTAGCATTTAACAAACTTGTTTTTTCCAAAAATATCCATAGCATATTTGCGATGAGAAATCACCAAACCATGGACCAACCTTCATTGTATAAAGCCAACGACAACCTACTAAAGATTTCTCATGTGATAGAGGAACCAGTTCCTAGATATCACTGCTTTGAAGAACACATATTCCATCAATCGTTGCTTGTCTTAACTCATGGTGAAATAATGTTTCACCTAAAGTTTTAGGAATATAAACAGAAGATAAGGAAGACAAACAAGTATACTGCAAAGGGGAAATACAATAATAACATCCATGTGTTCCTGACAAGAGGAATCATCTCACAGTCACTCGTCCAGACATTTCTTTTGCAGTCATTGCGGTAAGCTAGTTCTTAAATTCCTCTTGTCAGGAACACATGGATGTTGTTATCCGGATTCTGAGTGATACCTTTCTGAGTCAGATAAAGGCTCTCCCTGATTGGGTAATAGTTTGACACTTGGATCCATAGGAGTATCGACTAGTTTAGCATTTAACAAACTTGTTTTTTCCAAAAATATCCATAGCATATTTGCGATGAGAAATCACCAAACCATCTTTAGATTGGGCTACTTCAATACCCAAGAAATAACGGAGTTTACCAAGATCTTTTGTCTGAAATTATTTCGAGAGGTGTTGTTTCAACTTGAGTATTCTCTGTTGATCACTACCAATTATGACAATGTCATCTACATACACAATAAGATAAATACACCCTTGGGGTGAGTGACGATAAAAAACAGAATGACCAGCTTCACTACAGACCATACCAAACTGTTGTACTATAGTGTTGAATTTGCCAAACCAAGCTCTTGGAGATTGCTTAAGACCATAAAGAGACTTGTGTAGCCTACAAACCATATTCGACGACTTCCCATGAGCAACAAACCCGTGTTTGCTCCATATATACTTCCTCTTCAAGATCATCCTGTAAGAATGAATTTTTTTATGTCAAGTTGATGAAGAAAACAATGTCAAATGGCTGCAATGGCTAGAAGAAGTCTAACATATGCCATTTTGGCTACAAGCGAAAAGGTATCACTATAATCCAACCCAAAAGTCTGAGTGTATCATTTGGCTACCAAACGAGCTTTAAACTGATCAATCTTACCATATGGACCAACCTTCATTGTATAAAGCCAACGACAACCTACTAAAGATTTCTCATGTGATAGAGGAACCAGTTCCTAGATATCACTGCTTTGAAGAACACATATTCCATCAATCGTTGCTTGTCTTAACTCATGGTGAAATAATGTTTCACCTAAAGTTTTAGGAATATAAACAGAAGATAAGGAAGACAAACAAGTATACTGCAAAGGGAAAAGACAATAATAACATAAATCAATATAATTTGGGGAAAGATTTCATGTTTGACGTATACCTTTTCGAAGGGCAATAGAAAGATCATACTCATATTTACAAATATCAACAATACAAAGCTTTTATGAATTCAAATTTTGTAAAATCTACTTCCAAAATAAAAAATCATATAAACAAATTATTTATTCTTACCCATTAGTACTTGGTTTTGTAGTTCTTAGATTCTTCACTCTCTTCCATCGATTTTATTTTCAAAACAAGATCACCTAAAAATAACAACAAAACATTTTATTTATGTTTATAAACAAACTTTACGGAAAATACTTCAAATAAATCAATAGATCTTATAATGTGTTTAAAACACAAATTTCTACAGAAAAAGATGGTAAAGTAAAAAGAAATTTATAAAAATAAATAAATAAGATGATATTTAAAACAATTGACAAAAATAAAAAAATAAAACTAGTGAGTATTCAAAGCAAATATAAATACTATAAATTGAAATTTGTCTTACCTATTGAAGAAGAGATATTGAAGACCAAATAAAAATGATTAATAAAAGAGAATTAAAGTTTGAAAACCTAAAAAAAAAAGTTATACTTTTCCATAACTATTTTGTAAAAATTTGCAAGTTTTTATTCCCGTTGTTTTTCTAACGGAATAAAAGTGAATAAAGAGTTGCTTTCTTTCTTCTGAAAGATTAAAAGTGAGTAAAAGCGTGCTTTTCCGTCGTCTGAAAAGATTAAAAGTGAATAAAAATGAAAATTTCAAAAAACGACTTCACTGGGGATCGAACCCAGAATCTCTGGTTCCGTAGACCAGCGCCTTATCCATTGGGCCATGAAGTCGATGTTGAAATAGTTATTTACAAGTTAAATAAATTTTAACAGTATCAGTAAAAGTTGCTTGTGCAATTTTAGTTGACATGTTGTTTTTGTAGTTTTTGCCGATAAGTCAGAAAAGCGATTATGAACGTGTTAGCGAGTAGAACAAGTTTTGTGTCTCAACAACCGGAAAGCGCTTCTGCACCGGCGTAATCATCATCATCAACAACAACAATATCTCTTTTTATCATTATAATATTTTTTAACCCTTCAATTATGATAATCGCGTTCGCCGGAGAAAAAAGCGATTGTAAAACGTGCGGTGAACCAACCTCATCATAACTAAACGGTGAGAAAATATAAGAATCAAAATGTTGTTATAATTATTATTACTTTAAAAAATTATTCGGTGGAAATTGAATATTAATATCAAGAATTCTAAAAATAGGAATCGAAAAAAAAATGGGTAAAAAACAATCGTTGCGGAGTAAAGCAGTTCATCTTGTTTCGGATCTCACAACTGTTCTTCTCAACCCTATTTCAGACCATAACAAACCCTCTCTTCCTCTTTCTGTAAGTTCTCCGTAAATTTCTCTTATTGTTGAATTCAGCTAACCTATTTTGGTTTATAGTTTCTAAAAAATGGTTTGATTGCTGTGATATTGTTAAGGAAGAAGAAGAGGATGATGGTGAGTTAAAGGGAAGTGAATCAGAGGTTGAAGGACCTGATACGTCGTCGTTTGCTGCGTTTCTTTATTCGTTTTTGTCGTCGTCGTCGGATTCTGGAGATAATAGTGTAATTGATGATGTGTGCGCGGTTGAAAATGATGACCTAATGAATGAGAATTTGGTTGTTAAGAAGGGTTTGTTATCTAGAGGTAAACAATCACTTGGTAAAGCTATTTATCTAGCTGCTAAAATGGGTGGATTTCGAACTCAGGAGCCTGGGAGGGATGGTTTTGAAAGTGATGGGTGTGGTGTTGAGATGAAACATATTCAGCCGTTGAAAGAGGTTCCTGGTGTGCCTTTGGTTGATCGTTTGGTGGATGTTTCGGAACCTTCGATGTTGATTTCAAATAGTTTGAGGAATGTGGTTTATGATTCGCTTCCGTCTCTTATTCATGGGAGGAAATGGTTAATGATGTACAGGTAATTTTGGATGAAGTTTTATTGGTAGCCACAAGATTGTGGTGTTATCATGTTGTGTGTTGAAGTTGCAAAATCGTGTTGGTTTGATATTTTGATTGATATTCTTTTGTGGCCTCTTTGCATTTAATGCAGCACTTGGAAACATGGGATATCACTTTCAACTCTTTACCGGAGAAGCATGCTTTGGCCTGGACCGAGTTTGCTGGTACAATTTTATCACCCTTCAGTACAGATAAACTTATGCTGTTTGAAGTTCCAGTTTTCAAGCTTACTAGTGAAACAATCTTAAGCTGTTGTCCAATTTTAATCTGCAAAGATAAATGCATAACTGTGTTCTTTAATCAGCAAGACTGATTTCTACACTATACATTCAGTGATTAGTCCTTAATGTATTGTTAGCTTTTCTCTTCCAGGTTGTTGGAGACCGGAAAGGAGCAGTATTTGGTAGCTTGGTTGAAGCACCCCTTCGACCATCCAACAAGAGAAAATACCAGGTCAGCTTTTATATTTGTACTATGATACTATTAGCTGCTTCACTTCGTGAAAGTGTTAATGTTATCTTTTATTTTATATTATTGTTGACATAAACTTTGTACAGGGAACAAACAGTACATTTGTTTTCACAAATATCTCTGGTCATCCTGTTGTATATCGCCCAACAGGTATTTATTTTTTATTTGAGTTTGAACATTTTCATTATCTTTCCATTTTTCTCATAAGTGTACTGTGTTTTCTTTATATAATAATCATCGATTAATTTGTTCTATCTGTCAATAACTTGTAGTAGTTGAATGACTAAATCACTAAATGAATATTCTAATTTTCCTTTTACAAAACTATGCGGATGAGGAGAGAGTTTATTCAAAGTTCATTTGTTGTGATGACAAATTTTCAGTTTTAAAGACATGGTATTCCCATGAGTTATGTTGTGCATTTTTAGAAATAAGCTACAGAACAATTTTACAACAAACATGGTGCTTTTGCTACTCAGAATCTGGCTATATACTAAATTCCCATCTCGACACCTCATTTTTTGGTTTTGAAAATCAAAAGCCTCCTTACATTTGTGGATAGTCATGAGATTGTGCCACATCTTGCCAAAGGATCAATTGCTAATTTTCCATTGAGAAAGGCTTGATTTTACTTTTCTGTTAACTTCAGAGGCACTTACATGCATTGATTTTTTGTCAGCTACAGCTAGATTTAATTTTAACCCGGGACTGGTTCGTCTAAAATGTATTGTTAAAAATGATGAATTTCTTAGCACCTTTGACAGTTTCCTTCCATGGATATTTTTATTCAAAAAATGAAGCATGGTTTTCAATTTTCAAGTAGTTGACATTCTCATATTGTAGTTGCCCACAAAATGTTGATGCAATATTGTTTGACATTTAGCAGAGTAACTTTCTATGAAATTCAGCATCAGCATGAGGCGTTACTTAAGTTTTAAAATGTGATAAAGTTAAAATTACACATGTCACTCCTATATTACATCATATCTCTTGATCCATATGATGGTAGAAAGAAAAAATCTGGGATGGTTTGGAACTCTAATGCTGTTTCTCTTCTCTTGATTAAACTATACTGAATAACCATAATATTGCAGGAGTAAACCGTTACTTCACACTTTGCACCACTGACTTTCTAGCTTTTGGCGGGGGAGGTCATTTTGCACTTTATTTGGACAGTGATCTGTAAGAACTTTGCAATTGGATATGCTATCCTTTTTTTGACCCTTTGTGACCCTGATTTTTCCTGTTACAATTTTTTGACATATCAACTCAAGATTGAATGGGTCAAGTTCCGTCTCTGAAACTTACAACAATCCTTGTTTAGCACATTCTCCAGAATTTCAAGTGAAGGAAGTAGAGGTGCACATAAATCTCCTTCACTCAGTCACACAAACCTCTCCAATCTCTTTTAATTTCTCTTTTATTAATTTGTTGCAGCTCATTTGTTTCCCTCCATATCTATGAAACATTTACTTAAACTCAAAAGAACTAATTAGCAAATTCTCTTTCCTCCATGCAGTTGTGGGGCTTTGTACTTCCTTCGAAATATGAAGAAATAGTGAAATTGAGCAGAACAGAGGCACCTGGGATCTGTCACTGGTAAATATATATGAGTATGTATCAGATATTAGTCAAAGCCTTGCAGTTTGCATTTTACTGAATGATCATGCTGAGTCACAAGCCTTGAGAATTTCTGCTATTAAGCGAAGTTGATAGACAATATGATGCAGAAATTGTATGAATCAAATCTTATTATCACCATGTAACATGCTTGTAAATATTTGCGAGGCTGTATGTTGTACATACAGAGTCCATACCCTTTATAAAATGGACCTATTTTGTGTAGGATAAAAATTGGAGTAAATTTTAAAGTGTATGCATACTTAAAGCAGATAAAGGAAAATGAAGGATAATGATAATCACATCCTTTGTAATGTAATTTGGTGTGTATTTAATGTACTAATTTCTCACCTTTCTACTCTATTTTTATCTTGTTTCATTTTGCTTTGTTATGTTTTATATCAATTCAATCATAGCTTTAGATATGACGGCTCTTCACCTATTTGCTAACACTTGGATAGGAGCCTAGGATGAATGAAGTTCAGAACATGAGCATCAATAATGTTTGATAAAGATTTATAAAAGAAAAAAATCTTATTAATGCTAACTTTGATATATTTGATTGTTTTTTTAGTAGAATTAATTTTGAGATTTTGAGAGTCAGAGAAAATGAATAGAATTGCCCTTTAAAGCATGAAAAATGCTCTTTTCATTTTGGTGGTGCCTCTCATTTTCTTGAAGCACCGAAAATGCTCTCATGTGTTGCATCCAAAGATACATTACTGATGTACTCAAAATCACATCAATATTTGCTTTTATGATATTTATCCAAATTTTTAAAAAAATATGGTCTGAAGATGTATCTATGTATATTATATAGGTGTATTGGATATGTATCTCCGAAATATCTCACACATTTATGGAGTTCTGTTAAAACACGACATTGCACCTTTGAAAATGTCCAACTTGATTTTATAAAACACCATCTTGAACATTATATTTGCCACCCTCACAATTAAACCTCACACCCCCTAATTTGTATGAAAAGACCAAAGTAACGTTATAATTTTTTTTTCACATTTTCCAAATTTGCGGTTCAGAAACTATTTTTACAAATTTCAGGAGTGATACAAGAAATTTCAAAATAACTACCGAACATTTTAAAAACAAGGTTTATCATAAATTTTATTATTTACAGTATTTTGTACCGGAGCTTTTAAATTTTTTGGTATTTTTACCTGAAATTTCATAATTTTCGATAATTTTTATCGAAAATTTCAAAATTTTCGATGCAAGCCTCAATTTTTGTTACCGAAAATTTTGAAATTTCTGGTAGTTTAGAAAACTAGTTTTGTATCTTACCGAAAATTTCAAAATTCTCAGGAGTTATAAAAATTTAGTTTTATACCGGAAATTTCAAAATTTCTGGTAGTTATAAAAATTTAGTTTTATACCGGAAAATTTAAAATTTTCGGTAGTTGTTGCCTTTGTTTTTTTTTCTGATTATTTTTTTTCTTTTGCAATGAAAACTAGAGGCAGAGACGATACTATTGCAGAGAGAGCTGCAAATCGAGGATCAGATCAGGGTAGGGTTGTTAGTGGTGTTGATGCTGAGTCTTTCCATTTACAACCATGACGAGTGGTCCTCACTGGTTCACATTGGAAGCGGATGGCGGAGCAGAGGCATTTCTTGGCACCTCGTACCACTTTTCGTCGTGGAGTTCGATCAGCAGAGCATGATACATATGAGGTGTTGGTAGACGTTCTTATAGTTGAGCCGGTGGTTGAGTCAGTGGTTGAGTCGGTGGTTGATCTGGTAGTTGAGCTAGTGGTTGACTAGGTGGTTGCTTAGGTAGTTGAGCCGATGGTTGTTCGGGAGGTTGTCGAGGAGGTTGCTCAGGAGGCTGTTGAAGAGGTACAACCAAATGCTGTTGTTGGTGAGTCGAGCCCGTCAGTTACTATTGCGATAGAGGTTACGGTTTTGTCGACTGAGCCCTCTATGCAGAGTGATGAAGGATTCTCAGGTGGACCCATCGACCGATATGTGCTTACAGAGTATGATGAACATGTGGCCTTACGATTATGGCAGGGCGAGGTATATGTCTTTTACGTTTAAATTTAAATTTTTTTTATATATGTATAATTTGTTTATATTTTGTTATACAGGAGCGACCCACACTAATGATCGCATCTCACGGATTATAAGGGACTTCCAACTGTTTGATTTTGCCCACTGCTCACTCATCGTGTTATACGCTCAATTGTTTAGTGCCTTTGTTGAGAGGTGGCACAATGAGACATCATCATTTCATCTTTTGTTCAGAGAGATGATTGTCACTTTGGATGGTGTCGCAGCGTTATTCCATCACCCTATCAGCGACAGATTCTGGACGGCTTTGATTCTTAACGTGATCGCTGGTTGTCAGATTGTGTCACATGATTTGAGTTTGCCTGAGGTGAAGGTGCTGAAGGAGTTTGGTGATACCATATGTTCACACCTTTGTGTGCACTGGCTTTAGAGGATTTACGATGAACTTGTAGCTGCTGGGAGATATGAGGTTATCGCTAGGGCGTACATGCTACATGTAGTAGCATGTACTCTCTTTGCAGACAAGTCTGGTACTTATGTTGATGCCTAGTATTTGTGTCTTTTCAGTAACCTCGAGGAGACCAATTGGGCTTGGGGTGTGCAGCGTTGATCCAGTTGTATATAGCGCTTGGAGTGGCGACGATCTTTAAGACCAGACAACTTGCTGAGTATTTGAGTTTGTTACAGGTATATTTTAAATTATTGTATGTTATTGATTTGATATTCATTTTTTATGAATATCATTTCTAAATTATTATTTATTGTGATTGCAGTGTTGGATCTACGGGCATTTCTCTACCATCTGTGACAGGAGGGTGCAACATTACAAGGTGGGGGGCCCACAGGCGAAGAGGTGGAAGGCGAGGCAAACACATCCTTATGGTGTACCTGAGTATATGAGGATGTTGGATGCGGTGATCGTAGATGATGTCATCTAGACATCATACGATGCTCAGAGAGTCCGCCGTGAGTTTGAGGAGTCCTCATTATATTCAAGTTATATACGGTGGGAGACCATGGTTGCAAGACACTTTCCCGAGAGGTGTTTGTGAAAGTATGGCTATGTTCAAAGTATACCACGACCAGTTCCAGATATTCCAACTTCAGGGATTGATTGGTGGTTTCAGAGTAACTTCACCAGCTCTAATCGTGCCATAAGAGATCGAGTGGTCACTGCTCATCACCCCCTTGTAGTGTGAGGATGGTCACTTAGAGTGGTACCTCACTATATCACATCCACACATCACCCCACCCATAGCTGATGATGGGCCTTCTGATGAGCAACTGGTTGTTGATGATGCATCGCCACCTCTTCCTCCAGTAGATCACACTAATGATCAACAATGCTTCCAGATGATTGCAGTGATTACAGATGAGCTAAAAAGTTTGGTAAACCCAGATGGTCATTTATTCTGGATTAGCTCAGATTGCACACATAGTCCGTGGGGGCCTATTTAGATATATTTTGTATTAGATGTATATTATTCTGACATCTTTCTCAGAATATTTGATTAGCTAATATTAGTGATCTTCCTTAAATTGCAATGTGAAAATTAACTTACATCTAAGAATGGTTTTCATTACTTAAACATAAAACACTTAACATTACAATATGAATAATTGAAAATAAAAAACTAAACACTACTAAATGCTTCAGGACGTTTCAGCATCTCCATTATTTCGTCAACGGATCTTGACAGCTTCACATCTAACTCGATCGGACCATTTGTCATCATACGACGAAATGATTTCTACATTTCCTTCACATCTTCACCGGTCTTCAACTCAATAAGGTTGTATTTCACCCTCCCATTTGTATCGATCCAATCTTCACGAAACTCTATCTTTCTCACCTTTCTATTTTCGCCATCAGGTAATAATTCATTCAACTTTAACTTTAGGCAGACAAAAGAGGTGCTGCCATCGGGAAGCTTGAACTCTACAGGAGGATAAGTTTCGTTGAAGTAAACTTCTTCCTTAATCATAAATTGAGGATGAAACATTTTTTAAATATGTATTTATTAATAAGAGGTGACCCCAATTTATACAACTGTGAATCAATTTTGTATCACATAAAATGTTGGCGCAATCACATCCGCACAATATTGTCGGCAAAATCACGACCATCCAAAAAACCCTAAAAATGAAACTACCGGAAATTTCACCTTAAGTGAAGTTTCTGGTATACACACAAAAATTTCATATTTCCGGAACAATTTGCACTTCACCAGAAATTTGAAATTTCCGGTGCACCGAAAATTTCAAATGAACTACCGGAAATTTCAATCTGTACCGAATATTTTGATATAACTACCAGAAATTTATAACAGAAACTTGATGTGTTTTTCTCCCTGAGACAATTTTGACATTATGAAAAATTGGTTGGGGGGAGTGCCAGGTTTAATTTTGCGGGTGGCAGATATAATCCTTCGCCACCTTGCATGAGTTTCTTTATGCTAAAAAAGAAACTCCATTGCAAAACTCTTAAAAAAACTTTCTCTCATTCTCAATCAACTTTTCAAAATCAAAATATAATTCATGTATTTTGTCACTTCAAAGGGAGCAAAATAAGTTGTAATTGCAGGTAAAGATCAATCATTTCATCCCTCATTTCTTGCATTAATCTTGATTATATGCTGAAAATGGACGTTGAATCCGGATATGCATCTCTGAAAAAAAGTTAGGTGTAGTTCAGATGTCCATCTCTGGATTGTCTTGTTAGTATAAATTTTAACAATGTTTTTATGTTATTGGTGGTAATAAATATGGTTCACCCGAATATGTTTCCTAAAACTATTGTGAGTGTGGATGTTAAACTGGTCAAAGTGAAGCATGATGTTAAATTGGATGAAGTGAATGATGATGTTCAACCAGACAAAGTGAATATTGATGTCAAATCGGGTGTTCGACCAATTGTTGTCGAGGTAGATGTTGTGCATAATTTACAAATAAAG